AGCATGTGGGCGTATTGGGCAGTGTACTGTTAGAAGGCCTTTAATCCGTTCCTAAGACAGTCGGATATAAGTAATCCGAACCGGTCCCGGATTATTACCAACCCAAGGACTGCCAACTCGGCACCATTCCTAGAAATTTTTCACGAATCTTTTTTTACACTACAAAAACAATAACAACAAAAARGCCTATCATGACGTCGAGATGATCATTGCATATGAGCAAATAGTTCTGAGAACCTCCTGCGTTCAGCTTTGAATCTCGTATATACAGAAGTTTTGGTTGTTTGTCAGCGCTTGCTAGTTCGCGCGAGGTCCATAGATTCAAAGCTGGAGCGCAAGGGAGCAGAGTACTCGCTCGTTGGTAAACTTATGAAATTTCATTAAGGGAGGCTCGGTGGGTTTACAGTTTCCAGTGATTACGTTATGACTGCATAATGATAAAGTTTGGCAGGTTGACATGTTTTCAGTGCACTGTCTGCAAAAAAATTATGACTCCTTTCAGTCGGCGACCCAGAAGTAAATTCTTGGAAGTTCTTTGTTTATTTGTATATCTGAGTAAAAATATGATCCTTGGGCAATACTTCTTTAGAATACACATATTTCAAACAAAAATTATATATTTAAACAGAATCTTTTTCTCTTAGTTCTGTACCATAACAAACCGTTAGTAAGAACTCACAAACATACTAAGAAAACGACAAATTATCAATTGCTTTCACATGTTGGTCCATTTTCCATTTATACATATACATAATTGCGGTGTCTCTTTCAGCTTTGATAGTTACTGTGGTTCCATACACATTTATCACTGAAAAAGTTAACCATTGTGTCCTTTCGAAATCGATTAAATTAATTATATTTGATTAARATCTTTACAATTTTCCAACCACAACCAAGTTCAATTTCACTAATAGCGGAAATATACTGAAAACTAAGCTCGCTGCCTGACCAAACGTGCCACACTTCAAAGGGTATTTCTTTTAGATATTCCTTTCCTATTCCTCAATACAACGCTGTGACAGAAAGTGTGAGCATATGTGCTCGGCAAATATTTGTTTGAAACCTGTTATCTATAGCATGAATTTTAGAGTAACGCGTAAACTAATCAAACAAACATTTTAATTATAAAAGTGAAGGCAAACACACTGAARGTGAAGCGAAATGATTTACAGAGAAAACTTACTAACTCCTCACTGATGYGTAGACGTTTTTATAAGACTAAAGAGTGTAACTCGCTTAAGTGTGCGTGTGCGTGATGTACCCTTGCCTCTGATTTGACGGGATGAACACGTCGCATCTAAATAAACACTGYCGCAATTAACTCTTTCTACGTCTTCTGGGTGCTGGTGCTGGTGAGTGGAAAAGAGAGTTGCAGTTTTCGGGGGCATTCCCTAAAGAGTGGAAATATGAGGAAAGAAATATAACTTCAGCTCCAAGCAGGAAAATATCAAATATTGGAATGAATCGTCTTAGAATTACAGTTCTGATTTCTCAGTGTGGGTATGGTTGCATTCTACTCAATTTAACTAAAGCCTTGCAGTAGCGCTGAGTTCAATATTTCATTTCCAAAATGAGTATCAAATATCAAGCACTTCCAGGACAGTGCTCATACTTAGACAATAGTTTATATACGAGCTCGTAGACCCTGCTAGTTTAGAGGCATGAATTTAAGGTCCTTTTTGGAGTGTCATTAAATCAAAAAAGATCTAAAAATGAAAAGGGCTCGTAACTATACCCACGTCTTCATGGAAAAGTTCGAAAAACATTTTTTACGAAGTGGCAACTGCCTTCAAAAACTATTTTTGTACTTCTTTAATTGACTGTTTAAAATTCAAACAAAAAAAAAAATACAAAAATATTGTAAATTTATTTTTTTTTTTACTGTTTAAAATTTGTTTAAAATACAAAAATATTGAAAAGCGAGTTTTGTGACTTTTTCGATTTTTTTTGAAATGCAAACAAATTGAAAATTTAGATTTTTTTACTTTTTCGAATTTTTTAAAAACAGAAAAATTTTGAAATTTGAGTTTTTCTGACTGTTTCAAATTTTTTAGAAATGTAAAAAATATTGAAAAGCGAGTTTTCTGACTTTTTCGAGTTTTTTAAAGTTACAAAAATATTCAAAATTGAGTTTTTTTACTATGTCGATTTTTTTTTTTGTAAATACGAAAATTTTAAAATTGAGAATTTTTCTATTTCCAAGTATAGATGAGTTTATAATTAAGACTCTCTAAAAATTTCAGCTAAATGGTTTCGTGAAGAACGTGTTTTCTAATATAATTTTAACTTGTCGAAAGAGTTTGGAAGACAGGTCAACAAAATACCCACATCTCGGAAAATAATTTGAACTTTGAAAATTTCTTTGTTAAATATATTCAAAATGTTCTTTAATGGTTAAACTTAGGAAATATAGAAAAAACTAGACTAGAATGCCCTGTTAAAAACTTTTGAATAAGAAAGGGTATAGGATAAGAAACGGCCATGAGAAGGTTGCAGTAAGAACAAACTTCCTTACTTTGTATGACTGCAAATGATTCGATTTTTATGTTATAAAGATAATAATCAGTTAAATGTTAACATTGCGCCAAAATGTAGGCAACGAATTTTTCGGAATATTTAGTTTAGTAAAACCAACTGCAGCTTATTTTACCTAAACTTACCCTGTATATTGGCTGCCTATTGAGGCAAGTTTTCACAACCGTTCTTCTTTTCAAGCACACGCATTGCGTTTCCAATTTGTTTTTGCAGGCTACGTTCTTCGAGTTTGTARACATACTAGTCTATATGTATCTACAGGCAAATTAAAAACAAATAAAACCCATTGCTGACGGGAAACCGAAACAATTGTAATCATAAGATTCATTTAGAGTGGAGTTTTTATGAACAATGGACACTCGGATGTCTAAATAATGCGTTTGAAAGCTTCAAACTTTGATAGCAAAGTAAAAATAATTGTTTGTTGGTTAAAATACAAATTGTTGTGTATTATTAGATTATAAAATATATTATATAAGTTTAAAATATATATCAGATATTGCCCTTAAAAGATTCCCCTCAGTTTTCCAATATATAAAAACCCTCACATACTTTGAAATATAAACTACGCAGCAGAAACAAACCGCTTGGGAACTCGAGTTTGTTCTTCAATACAATAAAAAAGCTAACAATGAAGTTCGACACGAAAAGGAGGCAGCATATGCTGGTCAACAAGCAAGGAGAAGGTGGTGCTTAAATTGACATAAATTTTTCATAAACTTTTGCATGCTCATTAAAAATTCGATTAATCGCTTGTTTCCACTCAATAAACTCGAAAATAAACTCCAACAAACAATAASCGCTACATGGCAAACCGCCCGCAAAGCTTTTGTAAGCACTTGCACGACGTCAATGCAAAGGTATAAGAAAATAAAGAAATTGTAAACTTCCACTTTTGAAAAAGCGAGAAGAAAAGCAAAATTGGCGGTGAAAGCGATGGCAAAAACTTGTTTGCTGTGAAGTGGTAAATACACACAGAGCCGCACTGCAGCAGAATGCGCGTGGCCGTTGAAACAGTAGTGGTGGTGGTGGCGATGGTATGCTGACGGCATGCCACGTAATGTCGTCGAAAATGGAAAGCAAACAATTAATGAAACGAAATGTCAACAAAACTCAATCAAAACGCACTTAAAAATGCACAAGGCTTTGCTTTATGCGCTTGCATGAGTGTTGGTGTGTCCGTGCGTATGTGTGAAAGTGTATGTATGAAAGTGTATATATATGTATGTGTATAACATGACTAGCGATAAAGTATTAGCTTTGCACAACGATCGAGCTAACTGCTGGCGTATTGGAAGGGTCTGTTGCAGTTGTTGTTGTTGGCAATTTAGCTGCAAAAGTAAACAAATCCGCGTACATCAAAGCTAACAACAACAAATCAAGAGTGGCTGTAGAAATTATTGACAAGCAAATGAAAACAAAACTAAGCAAAGTGCGCGTTGGTTGGCCTTGAATTTCTTTGTAGGCTGACAAAAGCTTTCACAATGTCTTATTTGCTTATCGGAGATCTCTTAAGATATCTTTGTGAGGTGTTTAAGGAATATCTAACTTTCTGTTATGATATTCATTTCGAATTTCAAAAGTGAAAGCTTATACCCATAAGTATTTTACATGAAAGCTTACATAGATTTTGTGAAAGCTTATATACCCATAAAGCTTTTAGATGAAAGTTTAACCATTTTTTGTGAAAGTTTATATACCTATACAGCTTTTGAAAGCTTGTTTTTTAAATTATTTACATAAAAGACCTAAATAYTTGTGCGAACAAAAATATTCACATTTTAGGTAAAACATGAAAGCTTTAAAAAGTTTTCTCTAAAAATATATAGGGTCCTGAATTCAAAAAGCTTACAAAGTTTTTGTGAAAACGTATATACCTGTAAAGCTTTCACATAGTTTTTAATGAAAGCTTATATACTCATTAGGGTTTTATATGAAAGTTTTTGTGAAAGCTTTTTTATTAGCTTTTAAAGCTTTCCTTAAAAATATATAATGTCCTGTATTTGGAAGAAATCATATTTCCATATTAACTTGCAGTGTATAGAATTTTATTTTGCTCCAGTCTTCTTGCCACTTTCATTAAGCTCAATGGAGAAAAGTTTTTAGTAATTCTGTGAAATGAAACTTGGTTATTATCAAAAATTTGTCGAGCGGGGACTTCAAATACCTACTCGACTGTTTCTGAAATTCACAATCTACACTTGGGTTAAAGTGTGATACCAAACTAAAGTTAATAACCGAGCTATAATGACAAAATAATAGACATAAACCTTTCCATTGAAGCGTAAAATTGTCCAATACACCATAAAACAAAGGTAATTGTCTATGATTATAATTACGATAATTATAAGCAAATCAATACGATTTTGTTCGCTAACTTTTATGGGTATTTTGCTRCGCCTATAAAAGCTGCCGCCTAAACGCCATGATGTACATTTTTGTATTAAATTCTTAAAAGGCATAAATGCATTTGGGAAGACTTTCAGGCAGAAATAAAGCACCGAATTTTCTATGTATTATACGCTAAGCCTACTCGCTGTCTTGCTCTGCGCTACAGTGCAACATGCAAAGGTAAGCATTGTGAGCTAACTTAACACTCGCCTCAATGCCAAGTAACAATATTGACTTCATCAACAGTCACGCACAATCACGATCTCCATAAACATGTCGCTAACAATGTACGTGGAACGACAAAGGGAGCTTTTGGAGACCTACCAGCCAAAACTGCAGCAAGAGCAGGCACGACCCGGACTCAACGCTGCTGTACTGCGTTCGTGTATGAGAGAAACCGAACTCTCCATAGCGGAATTGCATCGTTTTCGACTGAGTTTACTCACACGCGATCCTGAACTAAGCAGCACCGATGATCCGAGTACGGAGTTACCGAATTTATATGACATGGAGGAGGATGATTTAGCCTCTGAAGAAACCAAATTAGGTGGTAATCTTTATGAACCTCAACTAGGTATAAATGAAGCCAGTAATAATGCACTGGATTACGAAGATCCGCTGACAATCAGAAGTGATGGGAAATCTGACGAATCATTGCAATGCTTTGCCTACTGTCTCTACGAACAATTAGGTTTAATCTCGAAAGGTGTTTATATGGGTGAGGAGCTTTTCGCGAAGCTGTGTGCGATTGTCGGTCGAGAACGCCATTTGGTGAAGGAGTGCATGAATCTAAATACAAATAATAAATGTGAATCTCTATATAAAATGCATTTATGCTACGTACGTTTGAAGACACTTGAAGAGGAGGCTCGTATACGCAAAGTGCTAGGGAGCGCATATCCTGGCGAAAGGGATGAAGCGGGAGGGGAAGATATGCCGGAAGCAGAAACTACACAGGAAACGTACGCTGTGGAGGAAACAGAAACAACGCAGTCAACATATGCTGATGCGGAAAATGCCAAAACTGAAAAGTTTGGAGTCAAAAAGTTGATGAAACAGCTTAGAAAGAAGTTGAAGCTGATTGAATCAGATGAGCAGCTCAGAGARTTTTTGCAAGATTGGAATGAGGCTTAGTAGAGCATTGCTTGGAAGCAGTAATTTGGTAGTAAGTAATAGTAATAGCAAAATGATTAGATAAAAGGCTGTTGTGTACGTAATACTAATAAATATACTTGTATATTTTAAATAAAATTCAGCTATTGTGTATTAGAATAGGAGCTTCGTAATTGCTTAAATGATTTTTTCAATATTTGGACACTCAAACAAATTTATCTTCGTTTTTATGTGTGGCTTGAAGTCTTATAGGCTTTCTGATACTATGTAGTTGATTTTGAAATATGAACTCTTGCAAAATTGAAATCTTTTTCCGAAGTAGATCAAACAATCTCAAGTAATATGCTCGCTGGTTTAAGAATGTTGCATAATTTAGCACTTTTCATAGCACCACAGTGTCTTCATTATTTTTTGGGAAGAATCAGATATATTTTATTCAATCCGCCTTCATAAAACCAGATTTCACTAACCGAAAAGCTCGCTTAAGAGCTTTTGCTATATAATTTTTTTTTAACTCAAGTGGTTACTTTCTCATTCAAACTAACATAAAATTTCCTTTCGCTTTTAAGCGGCCACAGCAAGTGCTTGAAAGTCTCTCTAATACACTAACCACAACATTTTCTATAACATAATGCGTTTTTCATAAGAGCGATACAAAAGTTCTTGGRATATCAATCAAAACCCATTTCATTCCATCGATGCCATAATGTATGGAACTCGATTTCTTTTGCATAGCCACCACGGGCACGCTTGCAGAAGTCCAGACGCAGAAATCTAATTTGGGCCAAAAATATTCAGTTATCATTGAGCGGTAGCGACTGCCAATCACGATAACGTGTCCGTGTTGGTTATCACGGAAAATGTACGGTCCAATGACAATGGCAATGGCCCATAAACCACACCATAACGTAATTTTTTCGTAAGGCAATGGTGACTCATGGAGAACGTGTGAATGTGTGTGGATTATTTTCAAGTTGTTGCTYAGCWTCATTCACGAACATATGGTATRASGATTCTGGTGGTCAAGCGACTTCAATTCCTGCATCAATTTTATCTTGTCAGGATGTAGGCCAAGAAGCCCAACGCTTGCGAACGACGTGTGAGAGACTGACTTGGCACTTCCTCAATTGATGCGCGAGCGGTAGCTATATTCTCGAAACTACGGGCACTTCTTTATCCCACTGGCACGGAAACATTTTGTACTGTGCTTGTGGATKAAAATTTTTCCACTAGATGCTGAATTGTTGATCTGACGACCATAAATTGGACGTAGCGCTCTTAAAGTTGAGACTTCTGACTCCGAATTTTTKTAGTAAATTTTAATAATTTCGACTCGTTGTTGGATCGTTTATCTTTCCATGATGAACTGATAAACCTTACTAAAAAAAAAGTGCGGGAAAAAATATGGCGTCGTTTGCTGTCCCTATCGGTCTACCCGTTACTAATTTCGACTAGGTAATAAGTTGCTTTCCAACTTTTCTTGATCGTTATTCGCAAAATCTATCGAAAAGGAAAGACGATTTGCAGTGTTTTTTTTTATTTTTTTGTGTAAAAAATTTTACTAGATTTTTACATTCACCTAAAAATCTCAATTRTTATGAGCTGAGGATACTTCATCCGGTAAAGTATTTGTTGAGGCGCGTTCTAAGAAACTCCATCAGTTCGATACTAATTACAATAACTTTCAGATTTAAACTTCCATGTAAAACCTTAATTAATTGAATATGCCCATTTCCCACGCAAGTATTAGCATTTTAGATCACTTTCGAAGTGAGTCGAAGTTGTGCCCGCTTTGAGTCCCGAAATGGTCTGCACCATTGTCACGCATTGTTGTATGGTTGAACTCAACACCGCGTGGTTGTGGGTGCTACAGCTCATAATTACTCAATCAAAGTCAGTTAACTGGTTAGTATAAAAAATTTACATGCTTTTCTCGGACGTTTTTAGGCAATTAATTTTTTTCGGTATTAAATGAAAATGCTTTATTTTAATTAAATTACCACAACAATAATTGAATAAATTAAAAGCACAATTTTTTGCTATAAAAACAAGGAAGGTTAAATAAAGTTTTTTGACGCTAAACTTTCCACTATTTAAAGCTCATATTTCAGCGCGAAATTTATCACTTGATTTTGAAAACGCAACACAATGAAATCCCACGGTTTATACCAACTGCTCTTTGCGGTGTTCATTTGCAGTACTATAACACAGGTAAGTCTGAAAAATTTACTCGAAATTTTATGTTCAAATTATACTAAAATTCATATTACTTCTCAAATCTCAAACCCTAGCTCCACGCTGCCGATGATAAAGCTGCTCGTGAAGCATGCATCGTGGAGGCCAAACTAACAGCCACCGATGCTAATCAAGTTAGAGGCGCTGCTGTCATTAGTAAACTCATTCAGAACGATTCYGAGGCGCTGAAATGTTTCCAGCTTTGCTACTACAAAAAACTTGGTCTCATCGACTCTGCTGGCAAAACAAATGCGGCTAACACACTCGCTTATATGTCGCAGGTTAGCGGTATTTCGGATACAAATAAGTTAGCTACTGCTCTGGGTACCTGCGAGTCGGTCAAAGGTAGTAGCGGATGTGATAGGCTATATCAATTTGAAAAGTGCGCTCTGGCCAAATTGGGCGTTTAAAGTTGTTATTTTCTAGCAGAAAATATTTTTAAAAAATTTATTATGAAGTGCAATGATTTCGTGAAAACTATTTCAGTAGCTAACCAATCTTAGAATTATGACCAACAATTGAGAGTTTGAACACTTTGTTGAATGCATTTTATTTGGAATATTCATAAGTTTTGTTTACCCTATTATATTGATAATAAAAATTCAAATCAAGATAACATGTTCTTGCCAATAACACTTATATATCTGAAAGGCGGTATCACACTCGTTGGCCCCATTCAAGCCATTACATTTAGCTAGAATATCTTTTGGTGCACTATTACCAACCGCTGGCTTCAGTACCTTATGGATGGCAATTTCATTTGGAATGCCATTTGCTAAAATTCCTTTCTTATTCTGAACACATTTTAGAAAACATTTCACTTTATCGTCGACAGCGTTGAAATCACCCTTCTTCAAAGCGTCCAATTGCGCTGCGCTTGCACCAGATTGTTTCAGGCAATCGTCGTAGAATTGATGGACTTGAGTGGACTTATTCGACTTCAACTGAGAAATTAGTAATATAAAATAAGAGTTTTGTGTAGATAATACAATTTTGTTCGGATGATATGTCTGTGCTGCCTCTTACCTCATGAGCCGCTACAGTGCTGAGTGCAATTAAAGCGGCTACCAAAATAAACGATTTCATTTTCTCGAAGTTGTAGTGGATTATGGGGATTATTTTACGGTTTCCCGCAGATGAGAAGTTGCTCTAGCTTGCAGCTCACAACTGTTGCACTTTATATAGACAGTTTGGAAATGGTTTGATTTTCTATAGTGCACCAGTATTAAGTATAGAATTTAGCTAAAAAATTTTGTATTTTCTCAAGAAATTTTTCGTTTAATTTTTATTGCTGACAAGTGTCATTTATACTCTTAAATTAAGTTAATTATCAAATATAAATTAAAGTAATGAATTCGAGAATATTTATCTATAGTTATTTTGTTTTTTCCATACACGTAATTTACTCATCTGGACTAGTGTGAATACAATTGATTAATCTGATTTAATGATTAAGTTAATTTTTGTTTTATTTTGTTCAAAATACATTAAAATCAAAAATACCAGATTAAGCTTGGCATATACATTAGCGATTGCTGATAAAACAAATAATTAGTATTCGTATAACTACGAAAAGGTGAATAGCGCATTGTTTACTAACCAATTATACTGACGAGACTTAAAATTACCTTAAAGGTTGAAAAACCTTTCAGACTTTGAACAAAATTGTTATCGATACATATATAATATACATATGTATATTGTATAAAAACAGATCAATTGAAAAGTCTCGGCCTGRCACATAAATCGCGCTACCTGAATTTAATAAATATGATTTTAAGCTAGTCCTAATCTTCAAAAGGCGCGTGTGTAAATTTGATAGCTGGCGGATCATTAGTTTGTGAATTTTTTTCATATTGATTAAATCAACTTTTGTTTATGTGAAAACAATGGATAAAAAGGAATTTCTTGTGTTGTTAACATATTGCGTTTTGAAGGGAAATATTTCGACCACTGAAGAAGAGGTTATCACTGAAACTAAGACCTAGTTTCATACAAATCATGCTACGAAAATGATATCGAGAAGTTGGTGGATCGATATAATCAGTGTATCGCCCTTGAGGAGGACTATATGGAATAAAAAAAAAAATTAAATTTATCAAAAATGGGTTTTACTATGGTAGGCCGGGTACTTTTCAATTGACCTGTTACATATATTTTTTTCAAATATTGGTTCTGAATATCTGAAAGTAAACGAAAATAATCATGCTTATTAGCCAAATAATTTTTGTGCTCTAAATCCTTTCATAGAAACTACCATAAGGTTACTAACTGTAATCACCTCACAGCTGATGGCTATTTGAAAAATATTCTACTGATTATAAAATTCTTCAATTAACTACAATGTCTACAAATAGGGATGACGCGACAGTAGATGGCGGTCATATTTGTTTACGGATTTTTGTCAAATTTTGGGTATGTTCATTAAGGTTTGACATTTTTTATTTCACATTACATTTTGGTACAACACTTAGAAATTATCCAACATGATTGCATAATTTCAAAAAGATGRCCTGGACCGATTTTATTCACACTTGCCTCATTATGGCATTCTTAAAAAAATATGCTCATGTGGAATAAAATCACCTCTAATGACGAAAATCGTAAAATTGGGTGCATGTATCATCCATATTAAGCACAAGCACATATTATATTCAGCATTAAATGGCAAAATGTATATACCAATTTCGTGCATTTGGGACCAAAGTTCTTTTAGAAAGGGTGTACTGCCATATTTGCGTTATGACAACATTTATAGAACTATTTCGTGCATTTGGACCAAACTCCAGACACACCAACAGTATTATTTGTGCTAAGTAAGTTTTATTTCAACTTCTTTATGGCTGACCTTTTTTTTGTAGAGGCGTTATTTTTCTAAATCTAAAGCCTCATTTAACGCTTAGTCATCTGTTAAAACTATTCACAGGTTAACTAGAATACTTATTCAATTAAAGTAAATGTTTATGAATTCAAATATAAATATGCCTGTGTATATTGTACTATTTATGCAGCTGGTTGTTATTAATGTGGTACAAAATTCAATAAAATTTCACAAATGAGACATATTTAGGTGAACGAGTATATTATGGTGGCCATCTCTATGCAAATGTTTAACGCTGACGCAGACTTAATTTCGAATCAATCTTCCTTCGTCATTTAGTTAGCCAAGCAAAATACGGTATGCTTGTTGCTTTTCAGTCACCACTCATCTACATACTTAATTAGCAATCGATGTGCAAATTAAATACATTTTTATGGGTATTTATTTCTGGCGTCTATTTGTTGCTGTATAAGTAGTCAAGGGATAGTGAATTTATTTTAACGATCATTTCCCTACGTGGCTGTGATGCTATCAATTTTGTTGCGTTCGTCGTTGTTTAATAATGATTTAATTRCGCGATTAATGTGCGATAAGCATGAACAATATGTAAATGACAATATATAATATAAAACTGCTTAGTCATTTAATTATATTATATATAGGGAAGCAGAATAGATTAGTACGGCATATATCTTGCTTAAGTGAAAAGAATATTGGACTAGTTTAACTAGTTTATAAAAATATAACCAGATTACTCGTATATGCAATCAGCAAAAGAACATCTATAAATGTTCAACCTCACTTTGAATATTGCTATTACAGAGATCACGCTTCCAATTAATTTGAATAATGCGCTTCGTAAAAAATATGGGAATCTCGTATTGTTCGTATTGTTTTTAAACCAATTAATTGATTAATTAAGTAATTTATATAAATTTACTAACTACTTTATTCAAATTTCACTAAGGGTCAGCAAAAATATGGAAAATTTAGTCTTGTTAACTTACAAAAAAAAAAAAAAAAATATATATATATAGTAGTTTAAACTGTTAATGTCTGTAAAAGGCAAATTAGTTGTGAAGCGTTAATAKCTGAATTTATCATTCGAACATCAGCTTAAATTTACGATCATTTCTGAAAACTTCCGAACTTCGTTCTGAATATTTTCTATGAATTGAAAGCTCTGAAATTGGCAAACAATCAACAACAGATAGAGCTTGGAGATAATTTTGTACTATATGGCAATATATTTTTTAAGAATAATGAGGCAAATATGAATAAAATGGGTCCAGTCCATCTGCTGGTTTAGAGAGAGTATGCCTTTTACTTGGCGACTTGTCTCTTAAATATAAATTTTAACATGATGATTGCAGCTATAGCGAATTACCTACGTGTCTTGTAAAGTAGTTGTTCGGTACTTTTACTCCCATTTCCGATWTCCTTGTAAGAAAGGTTAAGAGAGAGGCAAATATTTCTTATCTTAACAGTCTACAACAATTATATGATCATGCTGCTACGAGGGATGGAAGGTTCTGTATTATATAAAGTCCATGATATAACAGGTCAACTGAAAAGTCCTCGGTCTGACACATAGATGACGCTGATAGTATTAAATCCGTATGATTTTTAGTTAACCGTCACCTAACCTAACCTTCAAAAGACGCGTGTATAAATTTGACAGCTGTCGGATCATTAGTTTGTGAAKTATATCATTTTAAGTTAAGCAGCTTTTGTTATTTTGAAAACTAAAAAGAGATAAAAAGGAATTCCGCGTGTAAAAATGTTGCTTTTTGAATTAAAAACGGTGTTGAACCCAATATTTGAATTGATCAACATTATCGACGAAAACATCAAAAATAATTTTGGACGGCCGTAAAGGGAAGTTGTACGAAATAGCAGGTACTCTAAAGATATCAACTGAATCTGTACATCTTATTATTCACAAATATTTGGGTATAAGAAAGCTTTAAGCGAAGTGGATTCCGCGTGAACTCATTTTTGACCAAAAACAACCACGAATTGATGATTCGGAGCAGTGTTTGGATTTGTTCAAGCATAAGAAACCCGAGCTTTTGCATCTCTATGTCAAAGAGGATGAAATATAGCTCCATCATTTCAATCCGAAGTCCAATCTAAAGTCATCTGAATAAACTGTACACGATGAACCTGCTCCAAAGCGTGAAAAAACGCAATAGTCGACAGGCAARGTTACTGCGTCTATGTTGTGGGATGCGTATGGAACACGTAGTTTTTGTTGATTACCTTGAAATTGGAAGTACCATCAACAGCGATAATTACATAGTGTTATTGGACCGTTTGAACGTTGAAATCGAAATTGTCACATCTGTCACAAGTCTGTGAAAAACGACGGCAGAAATTCATRAATTCGACTTCGAATTGCTTCCGCATCCACAGTGTTCTTCAGATTCGGCCCTAAGCGACTAATTCTTRTTCTCAGATCTCAAAATAACGATCGCTGGAAACACATTTTCTTTGAATGAAGAGGAAACTATTKTGAAGCAAAGGATAAATCGTACTACAGAAATCGTATCGAAAATTTCTAGGGTCGTTATAATCAGTGCCTCACCCTTGAAGGAAACTATGTTGAATAAAAATCGACGCGAAAAGTCGAATTTTGCCAAAAAAAAAGTATTTTACTTGGTAGTCTGGGGACYGTTCAATTGTCTTGTTACAAGGAGTTATCTTTATTCTTTATAGAACCATTTAAGAAATTGCTTTCTTTGAGCATTTCGTGTTTGCTGAAGACACTAGAAGATTTACTTTGGTTGAGTTTCATTAAACGTATAAAAAATTGTTCTTGTTAAGAGTTGCTTTATTTCGCAACTGTCTTATCGTCTTAACAATCCTTCTCCATGTACTTAAAATCTCATATTTCTTCAAACTTTGTTGAAATTTTGAAACGTTTGAAGGATTTTCAGTTGTGGAAAGCCTTTGCCCAGTTTTATTGATTATTAGTACGGATGTTATTTGATACCCGCGTCTCTAGATAATCCAATGTCTTTACTTTTGCCGTAAATAAGTATCAACTAACTTAAACTACTAACATGTATGAATAAGCATACGCACATACCAAACATGTGATGACAACGCTTATATGGTGTGCCCTTCGATTTCCGTTGCAAGCAAAAGCGGAAGCTGACTCAGAGACGTTGTTGACATTTCATGCAAAACTTAACGAGTATTTAATGATACTGCAGGGAATTAAGTAGACTAAAAGGCATAAAATGCATACAAAATCAGAAAAAAAATAGAGCTGCAGCAAAAGCTCATACTCACATGCTTTTTAAGGCAATTAACTTTGTGTAWGGTTTTTTGCTTAAGTATATGCATAATATAATTCTTAGCTTTTTATTTAAAAATGTAAATTTCTCAGCGGAATCGTTAAAAAACCGTTCAGGCAAAATAAATTCATAATCGTGTTTGTGTTTTTTTTTGTTTTGAATAGACTTTGAACTTTTTCTCACTTCTGTTTTCTAGCGCGTTTCTGCTTCAGTGCATGGCACACGGCTTATATCTTTTTATTGTCAACTACGTTGACCGCTTGAGAGCAGCGGGCTCAGGTATACACGGGTAAACAATGGCTGTAGATACTAGTTTACTTAAAAAAAAAGGGAGATTGTCATGTTCTTCTAAAAGCTACYATTTTTCTACAAAAGCTTATTAGAAAAAAGTACGGAACGCAACAAATAAAACAATTGAATTAAGTGAAGTCGAGAAGATTGATTTCAATTGTGCTCACGCCTGCTATAGAAAATGATAAAATGTAATAATAAAAAAAAAATTTATAGCAATGCCTAACGCTGAGTTGGTACTTTTTCTTGGATAATTATTTGCCGGTTTTAGCGCAATGCCCAGCTGGTGATAGAAATGTGTGAAATAGATAAAATAAAAAATAAAGTTATACAAGTCTACATGAAAATAAAAAAATTATATAAAGAAAACATTAACATGTCTCAGAACTATCTTGTACAATTACCTGGCTTCAACTGTATGTATGTATGTACATTACGAATTTAAATGAAAAGAAAACAACGATTTAATGTACCACTTAACCTTAATGGAAAAGTACCCAGAGTTTTGAGTCTGAAATATATCGATTTTKCAAATRAAATATAAAAAGAAAATTAATTGTCACTGTTATATTATCTTCTTTATTCAAAGTAATTAAAATTTTGAAAATAGGAAAAATTAAATATTATTCGAACTATTTTTATTGAATCATTCAGTTGCGAGAAAAATTTAACCAACAGTTTCTAAGTAAGCGCTTTTAGATTGAATTTATTTATTTCTTTCTTAGTTAGATTGAACATAAAAATTTAAATTGAAATATTTCCGAAACTGATTTGTGTAGATAAAATTAAAAAAAGTAGTAAGCGAACCATTATGGTGCTACACGAACCGATACAGCATTGTCTCCGCAAGCTTCACAAATTGCATTGGTGGCCTGCGGGGCATTTTTCCCTTTTGTTTTATACCAAAATATCAAAATATAGCGAATTCTTCGATATACAATATACGAAAATACTTTTTCTACTACTCAATATTTTTTTTCGACATGGCAAAGTTGACCTCAAACGACCCAAACTCCAAYTTGTACTTAAATACTCTAGTCTGATTGGRGTATGGGTGCCCGTCAATAAATTTTAATAATAAAACTCATTGTAGATATTGGTTATTTGACAGTTAGAAAATTAGCTTTCATTGGGATATCTTACCAACACGTGCCGGGTATAAAATTTCTTAATTCGATTTTCATATATGTATTTTCTTCACAAGTTTAAAGAATATAGTTTCAGTTTTGTTTACTGAGAAACACTAGTTCAATCCTAAACCACACACAGGCATATACATAGTTAGACTCTATACGCTACATAAATAAGGTTAGACACATTTATATTTTTTTTATTTAGAACTTACCGGCTGTTTAATTGCGAAACCTTGCAATTTCATACAAAAACATTTAAACAATATATTTAGAAAAGTACTTAGAATTCAGAGCCTCGTTAAATATTCGCTAATGTGTTTATAATATAAGGAAAATAACACAAAAAAACAATAGAMATTTTAGAACATTGTAAACAAAATCAGACATCCGATATCGGTGAGCTCCCGACTTGGAAGTGAATATAAAAAGACAATTGGCCCAGCAACCGGCAATCAGTTCACAGCAAAAGCTCAAAGTGAGAACTAGAACACATTTTTCACCCCAACAACAACAAACAATACAAAACCTACAAACATGAAATTCTTCGCTGTTGCTGTTTTACTTGCATTCGTCGCCGTCGCTGCAGCGCAGGAGGTAAGCGATTAATGATACAGTTTTAAATATATTTTGCATCCTTTCTAACACCGCATCACACATACATCACTCCTTTAGGGCGCCGGCATGTTGACCCAGGAACAGATACAAAAGGTACATACTTTGAGCACTGAGTGCTTAAAGGAAACCGGGGCTTCCGAAGAGGCGATTCGTGCTCTCATCAAAGGCGATGACAGTCAAGTTGATGGCAAAGTCAAATGCTTCACCAAGTGCATGCTAGATAAATTAGGCTATGTGGAGAATGGTAAGGTTAATGAGGAAAAGGTACAGAACATTTTGGGCAAATTGATCGGCATGGAGAAAGCTAAGGCCACTCAAGCTAAGTGCAATGGCTTAAAGGGCGCCGACGAATGTGACACCGCCTACCAAATTCGCAAATGTTATTCAGCTGGRTACAACGGTTTCGTTTTTTAAATAGCATAGATAATTATTATTTATAAAACAAAATGTACTAGGATTAATACCCTTAAGACACTTTCATAAGTTGCGAATAAAATCTACGCACTTTTCTTGTTTGTTTAAAAGTTAAATTTGAGTCTTTATTTTTTCTTAAAATATGGTTTATAAGTATGCTCTTTCAAGTATGCGCTTTATGAATCGCCTTAAAACTTTAAAGCTCTTCCATAAAGTCGTTTATGTCTGATATCAACAGTAAAACTTGCAGAAAAAAGAATCAACAAATCACTTAACCTATTTGCTTCTTCCGTTGCGTATACACAACGCTCCTTTCAATAAATAATACTCGTATGCACCGAGTGTGTGAGGTATTACAATACTTTCTTTTGTGTTCGGAAGTTATACAGGTATCCTTAGGTTTTCACCCCTCTTCATCTCAAACAGCTACATATTAAACGATTTAATATGTGGATCACTTACCCTTAATGAAAAAAAAAAAAACCTGATACTTTTGAGTTCGAAACATATCGCAATTATAAACTAAAAAGAAATATAACAAGTAAGAAAGCAGTAAGTTCAGGTGTAACCGAACATTTCATACTATAGCAATTTGGCAGTGGCTTGCAGGTTACTCTCTTGTGAGCGGTGTGAGTGGGCTAAAATTGATCACCCTATACATATCTTAATAACGAAACTCTTTATACATATTGCTTACACGACGACTAGAATATTGGYTGGGATCAGGATCTCCATACCTCTCTCCTCGCCTACTACTTAATTTCATTGAGATATCTTACCAACACTTACGGCATATAAAATTCGTATATATAATTTCAAATAGCTTCGATTTWGATTACTGATAAGCCTAAAATGACTTTCAAATCATACAAATACATAAACAGGTATGCACTCTCTAAACTACACATATATAAATAGTTTGACATATTTACATTTATATATAAATATAAAATATATATCTTAATTACCAACGTGACGCGCTGATTCAATTCCTCTGATGTCTGTCTGCCGGTCTATGAGGGCGAACTAGTCCCTGTTTAAGTTGTACAGCGGCTCATTTGTGGTAACCGCCGATATCGGACCACTATTGCATATACATAGCTATGATACAAACTGAACGTTTGGAATCAAGTGCTTGTACGAAAAAATGTTCAGTTGATAAGAAATCTTTTTGAAATTTGGCAAGACTTATTGTTAAAGCAATAATGCAATCTTCAAAGAAATTGTTCTGATCTGATTACTTATGGATGTATGCAACTACCATACAACTAAATAATCGGAATAAATKTATTGTCATCCGTTTTTTTATATACTATATGTGATGTACATTATAGCTTCGATACAACTGAAGTTAACGTTTTWTCTTGTTTTRGTTTGAATTCGCCGGCTGTTTAATTGAGAAAAAACAAATAAATCAAAAGCAAGTGAATAAAGTAAAAACAAAAAATACTTACAATTAAAGCCCTGCTTAATACTCGCTTAATGTGTTTATAACAAAACGAAAATAACTAACAAAACATAAATAAAATTTTAGAAATTAGTAAACAAAATCTCTCATCCTCAGGCGATATTGGTGAGCTGTCGGCTTAGAAGCGTATATAAAAAGACAGCTCGCGCAGCRACCGGCAATCAGTTCAYAGCCAACGCTCAAAGTGAGAACTAGAACCCGATTTTCACACCAACTACCTAAAATAATACAAAATCAACAAACATGAAATTCTTCGCTGTTGCTATTTTACTGGCCGTCGTTGCCATCTCTGCTGCGCAAGAGGTAAGCGATTACTCATGAATTTACGAATACTGTTTAGATCCCGTTCTGACACCGTCTTAAATATAAATCCTTCAGGGTGTCGGCAAGTTGACCGAGGAACAGAAACAAAAGGCACATGCTGTGGGCACTGATTGCTTGAAGGAAACCGGTGCTTCCGAAGAGGCGATTCATGCTCTCATYAAAGGCGATGACAGTCAAGTTGATAGCAAAGTCAAATGCTTCACCAWGTGCATGCTAGAGAAATTGGGCTTTATAGAGAATAGTAAGGTCAATGAGGAAAAGGTACAAAACTTCTTGGGCAAATTGATCGGCGAGGAGAAAGCTAAGGCCACTCAAGATAAGTGCAATGGCTTAAAGGGTACCGACGAATGTGACTTYGCCTACCAAATTCGCCAATGTTATTCATCTGGATACAGCGGTTTCGCCTTTTAAATACCCTAGATTATTATTAAAAAAAAAAATGTACCAAGCTTAAAAAACATACTAAGATTAATACTCTTAACAAACTGTTATAAGTTGCAAATAAAATCTGCACACTTTTCTTGTTTTTTAAAAGTTAAATATTGAATTTGAATTTTTTTACGAAATCAAAATAGGTTTATGATTGTGCTTTTTTAAGTATACGCTTTATGAATCTCCATAATACTTTAAAGCTCTTAAGTGAATTTTTTTATATATGATAGCTAAAGAAACCACTAAATGCTCAACCTATTTGATTTGTTGCGTATATGTAATGCTACTTAAAAAAAAGTATACATTCATATGTATGCGCTATGTCTGTAAGGTATCGCAATAAATAGTTTTTGTTCGAATGTTATATCTTTAGGCTTTCACCCCTCCATGTCTCAATCTCCTACAAAACGGGTTAAGTGATCACTTACCCTTAATAAAAAAAACCTGATACACATGCGAGCTCGAAACATATCGAAATTACAAACTAAGTTTATTTGCCGAAACCGAACATTGCATATTCTTGCATTTTGACAGAATCAAAACAAAGGGCCTGCGGTGCAAAGATTTGTAAGTTATATGAGATCGAGGGTAAGTTTTTAGCCGATTTTCGACGTTATAAGTGGTATAAAGTCAAATGGAAGTTCGAAATCTTTCTATAAGGTATAMTGATGCCTGAAGAAATTTTGATCCAATTCTACCCATTTTTGTCASACGGCTATCTTGTTACAAGAAAATGATTATTTCCGAATTACATTACTATATCTCACAGATTGACCGATATTTTCGATGAAAAGTTCACAATTCCAACTTAGATCCACATATTCGGTATCTGGACTTAAATCATTTTGGTTTGATTTGGGCAATTTGGGTAAATAAAATTGCCTGTTTTAAGCGCACTATACGGGCAAAGTTTTATATCGACACATTCAATGGTACTTGATTAGCTTACTAGAAAGCGAAAGCATGAGTTGGARTTTAAAATTGGTTTAAATGGAAAGTAGGCGTGGTTGTAGTCCGATTTCGTTTGTATTCGTACTGGAACATAGGAATGTTCGGGTAACTTTATATTAAAAATGTCGGTCCTGAGATATCGCTTTCCACGAAACGTAGGCGGTGTCAGCTCCATTGTCCATTTTTGAACTCGGCTCTCATAAAGTCCTTTTGTATCATCTCTAAAATGAAAAGTCTCTGTAGTTTTTAACCGAAGATGTGTATAAGAGACAGGCTCTCATAAAGTCCTTTTGTATCATCTCTAAAATGAAAAGTCTCTGTAGTTTTTAACCGAACCGTTATAATCCGAGTTCATCCATTTTTACAGAGTCTGTTGGGGAGCTTTAAATTGTTAGGTGACGGCCACGAATGGGCCACGATCACTTTTTTACCATTATACATATTGGTTATTCGACGGCAAGGATTTTCTTGGGAACAGGAAATTATACCTTCWTAATTTYGTCAGCTTCAGAAACCTYTTTCCGGCCCYCCAAAAATGCYTGGTGCCACCGAAACACACAMCTTCTTGTTAAAGCAGCATCTGAGTGARCTTGCTTGATCATATCAAACGTTTCTGTCGCMAATTTATCGRGTTTCATACAGTCGCGGCGGAAGAAAATCTGTCCCTTTACCTTCCGAACAAACCCTGTATGTGACAAGTATTATAGCTTCGTTGCAACCGAAGTTAACGTTTTTTCTTCTTCAATTTTGAATTMGGCGGCTTTTTAATTGCGAAAARCTTCAAACAAAAATAAATAAMTCAAAATYAAGTAAATAAAGTAAAAACAAAAAATACTTACAATTAAAGCTTCGCGTAATATTCACTTAACAAAACGAAGATAACAAACAAAACATAACAGAAATTATAGAAAATAGTAAATAAAATTACACATCCGATATTGGTGAGAACTAGAACTCGTTTTTCACACCAACTACTTAAAAGAATACGAAATCAACAAACATGAAATTCTACGCTGTTGCTGTTTTACTGGTCTTCGTTGCCGTCGCTGCTGCGCAAGAGGTAAGCGATTACTGCTGAATTTATAAAAATTGCTTTGCATCCCTTCTGACGCCATATCATAAATACTTCAATTATTCAGGGCTTTGGCAAGTCGGCTGAGGAGCAGAAACATAAGGTACATGCTTTAGGCACTGARTGCTTAAAGGAAACCGGTGCTTCCGAAGTGGCGATTTGCGCTCTCYTCAGAGGCGACGACAGCCAAGTCGATGGCAAAGTCAAATGCTACGCTAGAATGGTAAGATCAATGAGGAGAACGTACAGAACATTTTGGCCAAATTGATCGGTGAGGAGAAAGCTAAGACTATTCAAGCTAAGTACAATGGTTTGAAGGGTACCAACGATTGTGACACCGCCTTCCAATTGCGCCAATGTTATATAGCTGGACACACTGGCTTCGATTTTTAAACACGGTCAAGAAGAGTAGCTATAAGATGAAAATATTAAAATTGATATTCTTAAGGCACCTCTTTATATTGCAAATAAAATTCACTTACTGTTCATGTGTTTTAAAAGTAAACTTTGAGTTYATTTTCTAAGTCAAAATAGGTTAATGAATCGGCTTAAGGGGCTATATATAGTTAGAAGGCTGAAAAAAACGAATTTTCAGAATTTTTTCCCAAGGAAACTCTTAAATTCCATTCATCGATCCATTTTTGTATGCATATTATGGTATGTGGTAACCACTATTACAGAACTGGATCCTCTGATATTAAAAATCCAAACAGATTTCGTTAAAGTAAGGTTAATTATAGTAAATATAGTATAGTAAAATCGTAAGAATAAGCCAAATACAGTTTTTTGACAAAATTACGATTTTCAAATCAATTAAAAATCGAATTTTGATAAAGCTTTTGAAAATTTACGAAAAACATATTGCTTGAAATATATTTKCATTAAAAAAATATCTAAATTTTGCTAGCAATCAGTAAATTTTATACCTAAAACATTCCTCTGTAAATGCATTAATATCCACATTACCGCACATCTGTCACTTTTTAAGCTAAGGAACATTATTTTTAGGCCACAATACGGCAGAGCTGTGAGTGTATTCAATTTCTCTCAACTCCTTTTCAGTAAACCAACACACATTTTGAAAAGTATATCATTAAACATCTTAAAGGAAATAAATTGCGCTTGAAATGTAGCATTTTGTTAGAACTGCCACCTTTTCGGTGAATATTTTTCAGGTTGATTAATGATGTTGACAATTTTCGCCACTGATTTACATGTATACATAGATGTGTTTGCATAACTACCTTTAGTATATATAATTGAGCATGAAATGAAATTCACACACTTTGTCGGGGAATATGAATWGGTAATGATATAACAGTTTTGCTGAAACAAATTGAAATACAATAAAATTTCTAAAACTATAAAAAAATTATTTCATACTTAAGATTTTTTTTTTTTGTTTTTTTTTTTTTTTTTTTTTTTTGTTGAACTGACAAGCCACCGTTTTATCTAATTCGCATTCGCAATGCTGGTTGTCTGTTGAGTAATGACTTGCTATTTGTTCATTAATTTGACATTATGACATCATTAAGCTTTTTATATATAGAAAAATGAGAAAATTTGTTTACGATTTGGCTTTCTAGTTCAGTTAATTGTTWATTCATGCATTAGAGTGCGCAATTGGGCTTCAATTGTAATAGTTTGCSATTGTTGTAATTGAATTTTTTAACAAAATTAATAAAAGTGTAAAAAATCATTTTCATATTTATTGTTATTTATGCGATCGAATTGATCGTAACTCACTAAGTCTTTCCAAAACTTGATCTCAGCACCATCTTGTGGACTTACTTAGCTTAGAAATCACTCTTATATATGCAAAAGGTGACCATTTCTAGGTTTCCTACTTCAAAAAATATAGAAATTTCAAATTTAATGGAGAATGTTTATAATCATTCTAAAGACCATTCTTTGGCGTTTATTTTATCATGAATATCTCTTTCGCTGGCCGAGGCTACGTCTCGATGGTCCATCAATCCAATGAGTCAAATTTTCGATGACTCGTWCGAGCATTTCGACTGGTAACCTGAATCAAAGCGGGATTGTCCACATTCTGACTTTACAAATCCGCATGCCAACTCTTGAATCTCTTCGGATTGCTTTTCGTCCCAAATGCGGCATTTTTGCTTGGATATAGTCCCTTCGGTCGAATATTGCCCAATAATGAATTTTGGGTCTCAAGATGGTGATGGTTTTGCAAATAGGACGCTCAGTACGCCGATTAAGTTGACCATAAGTTGAGCGAAGCGCGAAAGCTACTGAAAAATGTACCTCTACTTGATTCACCGGTTATTATAAGACCCGGTGGAACTAGTTCTTGAGGCTGGCAAAACTTTCGTGTGTGATGGTATTTAGAATTTCAACACTTTATATAGACCCTGATTAGTTAGATAACAAATATTATATTTGTAGATATTTGTAGATAATAACGATTGCGAATGCTGAAGGACTACTGACAAAACATAACCACAGAACCCTACMAAACACAAAATTTTTATTAGTGAACTTTAGTACCTCCAGCTCTACCTGAACGGCTCAAAGCTATGAGCAACTACACCAAAGTTCTTACAACAAACAAAACTTTCGTCTSACTCGTTGACAAGCAAAAGCAGGAGCATGAAGAACGAGCGAGAAATAAAAAGCCAGCAAAACAAACTTATGTAGTTTTCATAGCCACCCCTAAATCAAAAACTTTGAAATTCAATTTCGTTGGCAAACCTTGCGGGCACACGTTGCGCACTTGCACGCTGCGATTGCATGCATGTGGTCAAGGTGTTGGCGRCCATGCGGGCTCAACTCCTTAAGGAACTTACTGACTTACGTATATTCTACGAAAACTTTGTGTGAAAGCCGAAAGCAGTAACTGCATGACAAATACAGGCGAGTTAGCGGTACGAACAAAGCGAACTTCCTGCAAGACGCGGCGGAGACTTTCTCGAAAGCATTCAAACGAGTTTTCAATTGCAGAAATTCTAATCAGCTGWCAGCGTAGGGTGTGCACAATTGAATAAAGAAAACGACTGACGCCAAGCGCAAAATGTTGGTGATTGTGTGGTGTGTAGGAGTCAGCATAGAGCACACAAGA